CTATCGGTAGGCTTGCGTTCGCACCGGGTTCGTCCTGCGGTCGTATAGAGGCTCGTCTCCGTTCGGGAAGCGTGCGTCCTGCGTTCGTGCCACAAAAAGTGGATACTTGGGCGTAATTCTAACTGTATAAGAGAACTTTTAACATTTTTATCTCTTATTAGAAGAACATGTTTTGATCTAGCTTTTTCTATAGAAGTGATATATAGGGGACTAACAAGAGTTTCAGGGGCCTTTATAGCTCACCGTGTATTTCATTTTAAAAACTGCGGAGTACTATACCAAAACAGTACAAAAAATACAAGCTGCAAGAAGTACTTTATAAAGAAGAGGCCCATGGGCCTTAACGATCACCTGATATATTTATACAGAGAGTTGAACTTGTTTTTAACATGAACAGAAATATTATTCAGTGACAAAAAACAATAAAACCACCTTATTCAATATCTAGCATACAGATTTAAGACTAAAAAGTATTTGAAACTAGCACCTCTAATTCTAAACAAGGAAAATGAAGAAATTTTAGCGCACTGACGCCTTTGGGCCCCACCCTACAGCCCTTGGGGGTAGAGCTGGCTCAAAATTTTCAAAGTATCAAACTGTCAACTCAGGGTTATAATTCCAATCAAAGTTATTAACATGTAATATTCAAAGTATCATTTGCCATTATAAACCATAATAAATTCACCCCCCCCCCTCCTTCCCCAGGGGTAAACGTGAGACCCTAGGGTCATAAACCTTAAAACCCTTCCATTAATGAAGAGTGTTTGATTCTACCATATCTGGGTCTTGAGAAGAAGATTTTTGGAATTTCAGTCGATTCAACCCTTTTTTGGCCCCCACGCATCAGCCCCGGGGGGTCAGTCAGGGCTCATATGTGCATACCATCAAACTGCTATCCAATACTGATAATGCTAACCAAAATTGAATTACTTCGAATGAAAATTAAACAAATGTTGGTCCAAAATGTGATTTTCCTATATAAACTATAGTAAAGTTTACCCCCTCCCCAGGGGGAAACGTGATACCCAAGAGTCATGAAATTCACAATTTCGGTAGAGCACCTTAAGACCCTTCCGTCTATGAAGATTGTTTGGTTCTACCATATCTGGGTCTTGAGAAGAAGATTTTTGAAATTCCAGTCAATTCAACCATTTTTGGCCCCTCCCATCAGCTCCGGGGGGTCAGTCAGGGCTCATATACATGTGCATACCATCAAACTGCTACCCAATACTGATAATGCTAACCTAAATTTAATTACTTCCAATGGAAATTAAACAAATGTGGATCCAAAATGTGATTCCCTATATAAACTATAGTAAAGTTTATCCCCTCCCCAGGGGGAAACGTGATACCCAAGGGTCATGAAATTCACAATTTCGGTAGAGCACCTTAAGACCCTTCCATCTATGAAGAGTGTTTGATTCTACCATATCTGGGTCTTGAGAAGAAGATTTTTGAAATTTTAGTCAATTTGACCCTTTTTGGCCCCCCCCATCAGCCCCTGGGGGGTCAGTCAGGGCTGATATGTGCAAACCATCAAACTGCAACCCAATACTGATAATGCTTACCCAAATTTAATTACCTCCAATGGCAATTAAACAAATGTTGGTCCAAAATGTGATTCCCCTATTTAAACTATAGTAAAGTTTACCCCCTCCCCAGGGGTACATGAGAGACCCCAGGGTCAAGAAATTCACAATTTTGGTAAAGCACCTTGAGACCCTTCCATCTATGAGGAGTATTTGATTCTACCATATCTGGGTCTTGAGAAGAAGATTTTTGCAATTTTAGTCAATTTGACACTTTTTGGCCCCGCCCCTCAGGCCCCTTGGGGCGGGTGACCAAACCAGCAACTATTTTTGTTGACCTTTGGCCATGAAAGGTTTCTGCAAAATTTCATTGAAATTGTTTACGGATGCACGACGGACGACGACAGACAAAAGGCGATCGCAATAGGTCTGACCTAAAAACTGAATCCCCTTCGCTCAAAGAATGCCTTCATAGGTAAAACTACAGAAAAATGAGAGTGAGATGATTCTATACCATATGAAGGCTTAAAAACCTTATCATTTCAGTCATTCTGGAACACAGAAATCAACAACATGCGTAATGCTCCATGACTGCATTGGTGAATTCTTTTTGCACAAACTGTTCATATGACATTTTCAATAATTTCCATCTGTTGAAACTACCAGCAAAATATTATTATAAGATTCTATGCTTTTTGATTCTTCTTCAGAAGTTGCTTGACATATTTTTCCCTGTGATCTTGTAAGTAGGTCAATGTCATTTTCCTTCTCAAATTGGTTAGCTCTATTCCAAAAAGCTACCAGCCAAATCTTATGAATCCATTCCTTTTAGTTCTCAAGAACAAATCCATTAAAATGTTGTTGACCTCTGTGACCTCTAAAGTAGGTTGAGGTCATTTTCATTTGCAAACTTTGGTGAGCTCTATCCCAGGAAGTCACCAGCCAAATATTATAATTTTATGCCTTTTAATTCTTCAGAAGAAGCTGTTTGAACTGTTTGACATATTTGAACGCTGTGACCTTGAAAGTAGGTCAAGGTCATTTTCATTCGCAAACTTTGTTTGGCTCTTTCCCAGGAAGCCACCTGCCAAATATTAAGATTTTATAACTACCAGTTCTTCAGAAGAAGTCGTTTAAAGTGTTTGACATATCTGCCTCATGTGACCTTAAAAGAAGGTCAAGGTCATTTTCATTCTCAAACTTTGTTCGGCTCTTTCCTAGGAAGCTACAAGCCAAATATAGAGATTATATACCTTTCAGTTCTTCAGAAGAAGTCGTTTGAAGTGTTTGACACATTTGACCCCTGTAACCTTGAAAGTAGGTCAAGGTAATTTTCATTCTCAAACTTTGTTGGGCTCCATCCCAGGAAGCCATCAGCCAAATATGAAGATTCTATACCTTTTAATTCTTCAGAAGAAGTCGTTTGAAGCTTTTGACATATTTGACCCCTGTGACCTTGAAAGTAGATCAAGGTCATTTTCATTCTCAAACTTTGTTGGGCTCTATCCCAGGAAGCCATCAGCCCAATATGAAGATTCTATACCTTTTAGTTCTTCAGAAGAAGTCGTTTGAAGTTTTTGACATATTTGACCCCTGTGACCTTGAAAACAAGTCAAGGTCATTTTCGTTCTCAAACTTTGTAGGGCTCCTACCAATGAAGCTTTCAGCCAAATATCATGGCTCTATGCCTGTCCGTTCTTCAGAAGAAGTTGTTTAAAGGAAAAGTTGACGGACGAGGACGGACGGACGCCGCACCATGACATAAGCTCACTTGCCCTTTGGGCAGGTGATCTAACAAGGATGGGGAAGTACCAACTTAGATATGTATATCCCCATGTACACTGACACAGTCTACAGAACATGTCAAATTTAGAGCTAGTCAGTGTCATTGTCTCGGGGGGGGAGCTATTTTAACTAGACCTGGACTTTTGAAATTGACTCTAATGAATATGGTGAAAGAACATTAAATGAACTTTATGTAGAAAACATGTTTACATATGTGTGCCCACTGATTAGGTCATACCTATTTCATATTATACTGACAACATCAGCTGCATCATAACTATAAATAGTAATTAATTAAGAAAGTTTACAGTTTTAACATTGTCAAGAAAAAACAAACCCCAATGCCAATGAATTGTTTTGTTTCAGTATTAATTTTTTAGCTTAACAACATCAAATTACCACCCACCATTTTCTCAGCTCTTCTGCAAGATTAACTCCCTTACGAATCATTCTGAAGTATAAACAGCTTGATGTCCGTGAAATATTTACTCAACCACATTTGATATCTTTCAAACTAGTGAAGTCTACAGGAAGTTGTGTAAGAGCTGATGATGTCATATTAGTAATTGATGATGTCATCAATTTTGACCCCAATTTTTGATGACATCATCAACAGTAAAAGGGGGAGATAATTCATATTTACCTTTGGATGGGATAAACTCTATTTTCAAGAAACATTTTTCAAATTCAAAAATTCATTTTCTTCAATATCAAAATGTGGGATATGGTTGTGGATATCCTAATAAAGACATTTTACCTTTGTCGATAATCTCCACCAGCCAAGACTGGGGTTATCTATGGTCAGGGTTGGCATTATGTTTCATTGCCATAATATTCATGTGGTATATATTGGTATATATAGTGGTATGAATGGAAAAAGAGCTATACAACTTCCAGCACACACATACATACTCACAGATCATGTGTCAAGATCTGCTAAGAAGTGCTAACAGACTGCTTCTGTTTTCCTGATTGTGTCCAATGTAATGCTATATTGCTTATATTTGTATTGATGTTTGAGGTATAGAACTCCTACAAGTAATACAATGATGATATAAATATGATGATGTCTGAAGTGTACCTCCTATCACAGGTATTCATACAGTATATAGAACTCCTATCACATGTATTTATACAGTGTATAACTCCTATCACAGGTATTTATACACTATAGAACTCCTATCACAGGTATTTATACAGTGTATTACTCAAATCACAGGTATTTATACACTATAGAACTCCTATCACAGGTATATATACAATGTATTACTCATATCACAGGTATTTATACACTGTAGAACTGCTATCACAGGTATTTATACAGTATATAACTGCTATCACAGGTATTTATACAGTATAGAACTCCTATCACAGGTATTTATACAGTATATAACTGCTATCACAGGTATTTATACAGTATAAAACTGCTATCACAGGTATATATAGTGTAATGAGATTTGTTGATTCCTAAGGTGCATAGCTGAAGGTCAGGCATTATTAAACCAGTATTTTTCGACTGATTTCTTTGAAACTTGGTAATTGTTATGGTCATGATATATGGTTATGTTTCTTTGAACGAAAAATTTGATTCGACTATTTTTTCAGAAGTTATTGCCCATTGTTTATTTCTAGTACTTGAATCTTGTCCGGAGATCTACAGTTTTCTATCGATTTCTTCGAAACTTGGTAGGCTTCATAATCATGATATCAAGTTGTATTAATATATAGTGAGTTGGAGACTAATCTTTTGATTACTTGTTTTCCTCAAACTGTTAGAAAATTATAGAAAATCGAACATTGACTTTGTAGTGAAAGGTGAGTTTTATAGCATGCTATATATAGCTAGCTAGCCACTCTTAAGGTGATGAAAATCTTATTTTAATGCAAGTTAATATATAACACTATATGGCATTCAACGGGTGTATATTGTTCCGCCCGTGTACGCTACTCTTGTTAGTTTACCTGGTCCGAAGGTAATTTTGTCCATTTTTTTTTCTTTGCCTTTACAGCAGCATTGTACCAGACAAATAATTTTGAAATTTTGCAAAAGGAAATGTCCTTGACCCTTATTCAAGGTCAAAGGGGTCAAATTTGTTAAAACACTCAAACAATTTCTTCAATGTCATGTTGAATAGCTGTTTTACCCGTGTTTAAACAGAGTTATTGCCCTCTACACTTCATTCCATCTGTGACACCCCTTCAGGTGTCGCCCCACAACGAAGGGAAAGAGGCTTAGCAGATTAATACTTCGAGCAGGACATAAATACAAAAGTCTTCAAAAACTTAGATATTACACTGACATTTTCATACTTTTTCTGCATGCTTATCTTTCAAATAGTATTCTTTTTTTTACCCCAAACTTTCCACTCTGACACTGTATATACTCTTCTGAAATGTTGTTAAAATCTGTTTTGCAGATTGACTCATACACAAAACAAGGTGACTAATAGCAGTTAGTAGTTGGAACACATGATAAATCAAATTAAACTGACCCAGCAATACCAAAAGGAATTGATTATTTACTCTCTGTCACTGCCTAAATTAATGTGAATTGAGTCTGAATAAATATGCCTGCATAATAAGAATCTGTCTAAATGTGGAATGTAAAGTGTTACATATTGGTTCTAAAGCTACACAAGGTCCAGTGATTGTCAGAGATAATCATTGGTCAGTTCTGGACACCGATGGTTAAAGAGCCTGACAACTGGAAACAAATAACTTCTCTTCACCATATAGCCATCATAGAGTAATAACCTCTCTTGACCATATAACCATCAGAGACTAATAACCTCTCTTCACCATATAGCCATCATAGAGTAAGAACCTATCTTCACCATATATCCATCATAGAGTAATAACCTATCTTCACCATATATCCATCATAGGTTCTTACTCTATGATGGAAATATGGTGAAGATAGGTTATTAGTCTCTGATGGCTATATGGTAAAGATAGGTTATTACTATATGATGGCTATATGGTGAAGACAGGTTATTAGTCTCTGATGGCTATTTGGTAAAGATAGGTTCTTACTCTATCTTTACCATATAGCCATCAGAGACTCATAACCTATCTTCACCATATAACCATCATAGAGTAATAACCTATTTTCACCATATAGCCATCAGAGACTGATAACCTATCTTCACCATATAACCATCATAGAGTAATAACCTATTTTCACCATATAGCCATCAGAGACTGATAACCTATCTTCACCATATAACCATCATAGAGTAATAACCTATCTTCACCATATATCCATCATAGAGTAAGAACCTATCTTTACCATATAGCCATCAGAGACTAATAACCTCTCTTCACCATATAGCCATCATAGAGTAATAACCTTTCTTCACAATATAACCATCAGAGACTAATAACCTCTCTTCACCATATAGCCATCATAGAGTAATAACCTATCTTCACCATATAGCCATCATAGAGAAATAACCTATCTTTACCATATAGCCATCATAGAGTAATAACCTATCTTCACCATATAGCTATCATAGAGTAATAACCTATCTTTACCATATAGCCATCATAGAGTAATAACCTATCTTCACCATATAGCCATCATAGAGGAATAACCTATCTTCACCATATAGCCATCATAGAGGAATAACCTATCTTCACCATATAGCCATCATAGAGAAATAACCTATCTTTACCATATAGCCATCATAGAGTAATAACCAATCTTTACCATATAGCCATCATAGAGAAATATCCCCTCTTCCCATATAGTCATCATAGAGTAATAACCTATCTTCACCATATAACCATCATAGAGTAATAACCTCTCTTCACCATATAGTCATCATAGAGTATAATAACCTATCTTCACCATATAGCCATCATAGAGTAGTAATAACCTATCTTCACCAAATAGCCATCATAGAGTAATAACCTCTTTTCACCATATAGCCATCATAGAGTATAATAACCTATCTTCACCATATAGCTAATCATAGAGAAATATCCTCTCTTCACATATAGTCATCATAGAGTAAAAACCTATCTTCACCATATAGCCATCATAGAGTAGTGATAACCTATCTTCACCATATAGCCATCATAGAGTAATAACCTCTCTTCACCATATAGTCATCATAGAGTAATAACCTCTCTTCACCATATAACCATCATAGAGAAATATCCTCTCTTTACCATATAGCCATCATAGAGTAATAACCTATCTTCACCATATAACCATCATAGAGAAATATCCTCTCTTCACCATGTAGCCATCATAGAGTAATAACCTATCTTCACCATATAACCATCATAGAGAAATATCCTAATAACCTATCTTCACCATATAGCCATCATAGAGTAAGAACCTATCTTCACCATATAGCCATCATAGAGTAATAACCTCTCTTCACCATATAGCCATCATAGAGTAATAACCTCTCTTCACCATATAGCTATCATAGAGTAATAACCTATCTGCACCATATAGCCATCATAGAGTAATAACCTATCTTCACCATATAGCCATCATAGAGTAATAACCTATATTCATCATATAGCCATCATAGAGTAATAACCTCTCTTCACCATATAGCCATCATAGAGTAGTAACCTATCTTCATGATCAATCTAACATGAAGCAAGGCCAGTGTGGTAGCTTTAATGAAAATAACCATATATACATGTAGCTTATTGTCAAAGGTAAAACATAATATGTTCCCCTCAACACATACAGAACACTGGGTAGTAGGGCCATTCAATAAATGCTGTCATCACACAGCTCCTGTACAAAAGGTCAATAAAAGTGTTTAGCTCCTTGGCTAACTGCAAACATTGAACAAGCTATTCATTGTTGAATGGTTTGCACTTTTGTGAATAGTGGCTACTTGTCAATGCTAACAAGAGGCCCAATGGGCCTGCATTGCTCACCTGATATTAATCTTACACTTGTAATCTTTAAAGTGGACTTAAATACTTCTACAGGCATAATATCAGTGTTTGATTCAAAAGAACATATTAAAAGATTCATTTGAACAAACTTAGGAGCCCTTCATTCAAGCATACTACCAGGGTTAATTGCCAACTCTCACGGCGTGAGACAAAATATCACGCTGAGCCATCCTTACTCACGCTGAAACATTCTCAAGCCACTTGAGCCATAAATCTCACGCATTCAAAAATATTCTCCCTCTATCTTACGCAAAGCCAATCTTTTTTAGCTTGGACCGTACAAAGGGAAACAACTCCTATTGCAATGTTGTGCTTTAGAAGTGAGCTGATGCGAAGTGTCGCTTTACATCCGGTGGAAACGAATGTAAATATATCGTAAGGTAGTAGTGTACAGAAGAAATGGCCCGACTCTGATAAACAAGGCACATGTCGAGGAAATGTAAACACAGCGGATTTACCCTACACAACACATGTATACATGTATATATATTTGTAAACTGCATTACATTTACAATACATATAAAGTACTGAGAAGTGTATAAACCTCTCTTTTCTATGTATGTCACTTGTGTGAAAACCATGGTTACCACATCAAAAATGACCAAAAAATGCCAAAAATTGCTATTTTAAACCCAAAATTTGACCCCCGCAACTAGTAATTTTTTTCCTAAGCTCTGTCTGAAATTAAAGATTACCTACC